CCTCTCTCTGTGTAACTCTGACTTTCAAATAAATAAATAAATCTTAAAAAAAAAAAAAGGTATAAACCCTCAAAACCTCTAGGCAATAATAGGAGAGCCTTTCTCCCTAGAGGGAGGGAGCACACTGGGACCCATCAGGGAGATCACTAAGATTCCAAATGGAATTTTTCCCTTTTCTCTTAATTTTAGGCATTTCGTCTGCATTTTTCTCTAATGTTTTTTATTTATTTATTTATTTTTTTTTTGACAGGCAGAGTGGACAGTGAGAGAGAGAGACAGAGAGAAAGGTCTTCCTTTGCCGTTGGTTCACCCTCCAATGGCCGCCGCGGCCGGCGCGCTGCGGCCGGCGCACCGCGCTGATCCGATGGCAGGAGCCAGGAGCCAGGTGCTTTTCTTGGTCTCCCATGGGGTGCAGGGCCCAAGCACTTGGGCCATCCTCCACTGCACTCCCTGGCCACAGCAGAGGGCTGGCCTGGAAGAGGGGCAACCGGGACAGAATCCGGCGCCCCGATCGGGACTAGAACCCGGTGTGCCGGCGCCGCTAGGCGGAGGATTAGCCTATTGAGCCGCGGCGCCGGCCTCTCTAATGTTTATAAGTGGCCTCCAGTCACTCCTCTGAGTGGGTAATGACTCACAGACACCCTGGCTCCTTATCCCTGGTCCCAGCCACTGTAAGGGCCTCCACTGCATCTCCAATACCTGCCCTCAAATTCACTTCCTGCATCCCTAGCTTCACTCCACACCCCAAAGCCCCACGACAGCCTTCATCCCTCCGTGACATCCTCGCCTCCACTGAGACAATGGGAGCTGCCATCTTTTTTCTCATTTCTAGGAGATAAAGGTGTTTTTCTATGTCAAAGAACAAAATCATAACAACTTAAAGATCAAGGTTTTCTCATCAATTTTAGACTTGAACAACATTTCATCCCATAAAGTAGAATAAATGTTCCAATGAACTGAGCACAGGAATCTGGTTTTATAGACAGTAAAAGGGGCAGGGGTGCAGGATTAAGATGCTGACTGGGGTGCCCGCATCCCAGATCAGAGTGTCTGGAGAGAGCACCAGCTCCTCCATTCCAATTCAGCTTCTTGCTAATGCACACTCTGAGAGGCAGCAGGTGACAGCTCAAGTGTTTGGGTCCCTGCCACTCATATAGGAGTTCCAGAAGGAGTTCTCGGTTCCTGGCCTTGACCTGGCCCAACTCTGGCTGAGACAGATTTGGGGAGTGAACCAGTGGGTGGAGGATTTCTCTGTCTCTCTCTTTGTGCTTTTCAAATAAAATGAAAACAGGGGCAGGTGCTGTGGCACAGTGGGTTAACGCCCTGGCCTGAAGCACCGGTATCCCATGTGGGCGCTGGTTTGAGACCCAGCTGCTCCACTCCGATCCAGCTCTCTGCTGTGGCCTGGGAGAGCTGTGGTGGATGGCACAAGTCCTTGGGCCCCTGAACCCGTGTGGGAGACCTGGAGGAGCTCCTGGCTCCTGGCTTCATATCAGCACAGCATTGGCCATTGCAGCCAACTGGGGAGTGAACCATTGGATGGAAGATCTCCCTCTCTCTCTGCCTCTCCTCTGTGTAACTGACTGTCAAATAAATAAATAAATCTTTAAAAAAATAAAATGAAAATAAACAATTAATTAAAAGAAAGTATTTTTTTTTATTTTTTGACAGGCAGAGTGCACAGTGAGAGAGAGACAGACAGAGAGAGAGGTCTTCCTTTTCCATTGGTTCATCCCCAAAGGCCGCTGCGGCACACCGCGCTGATCCGAAGGCAGGAGCCAGGTGCTTCTCCTGGTCTCCCATGCGGGTGCAGGACCCAAGCACTTGGGCCATCCTCCACTGCCTTCCCGGGCCACAGCAGAGAGCTGGACTGGAAGAGGAGCAACCGGGACAGAATCCGGCGCCCTGACCGGGACTAGAACCTGGGCTGCCGGCGCCGCAGGCGGAGGATTAGCCAAGTGAGCCGCGGCGCCAGCCAGAAAGGAAATTCTTAACACATGCTACCAGATGAATGAATCCTAACACATTATGCTAAATGAAATAAGCCAATCACAAAAGGAAAATTTTGTATGATTCTACCTTTATGAGTTGTTGAGAAGAATCAAATTCATAGAAATAGAAAGTAGAATGGCAGTTGTCAGGGAATGTAAATTATTATTTCACAGGTTCAGTTTGGGAAGATAAAAAAGTGCTGGAGATGGACAGCTATAAAATAATGTGCTTAACTGGTTAGTGGTTTCAATGGTTAAAATATACATTATGTATATATTACCACAATAAAGAGATAACAGACCCAGCCTTTGGGTTTTGGCTAGGAGAATGCCTGCATTAGGATGAAATGTATGCACCACTGTTTAGCAAAAAATCTTAGATTCTCCCCTTCTTTCTGTTTTTGCCTTGGAGGAACCATTTTCAGAGGTGTCTGCCTGAACTCTACTGTGGTCTGAACATTTACATCAAAGGCGTTTTGCGATTCTAAAACTAGAAAATCTATCTCAAATAATCTTAGACCTTATTCAAGAGCTACTACAACGTTAATATAATATGCAGATTTGGTGGGATCACATATCTGCTGTCTACTTTCTTGGCAGAATACTCAGCCCTTCAACTGTTTCCTTTGACAAAGCATTTACTATACCCCATTCACACAATGCTTGCATCACCATCTGTCAACCTTCTGTGACAAATCCGTAATGGGTAACATCCTCCTTTTTGAATACGATTAGGCATCCCTTCCTCCCCCATTATAAAATTAGCCACTGTATATTTATCACCTGCTTCTATTCTAGGAATTGAATGTGAGAGGTGGTATCCTCCCCCAGTGTTCACTGCTAGGCAGCCAGGAAGCATAAACATAACAAACAATCCAGATAGAACATCTATAGCACACGGAAAAACATACAGGGTCATAGCTGCCTTTGAAGACTAGCTTTTCAATGTCTAACAAGTGACAGCCCTGTTCTTGCTCATTGACCTTGATGGATGCATATTGGAAGTGGGACACTTTGACCCAGCTAGGTTACAGAAGACTTCTAGTTCCCTTATCACAGCTGGTGTCCTTTCCAGAAAGAATTGCAATCTCCTTTAACATTTTACCAAACTTATATTCAGGTGTACAGACAAATAAGCAAGTTCAGTACCAGCATTCTCCACCAGTAAGACTTTACCCTAATAGATCACGCAACATAAGGGTGATCTGTCTAATAAATGCATATTAAGCTCCTTGTATGGATCAGGTACAAATGCTGGTGCCATGTGCCAGTTTGAGTCCTGGCTGCTCCTCTTCCGATCCAGCTCTCTGCTATGGCCTGGGAAAGCAGTAGAAGATGGCCCAAGTGCTTGGGCCCCCACACCCACATGGGAGACCCAAAAGAAGCTCCTGGCTCCTGGCTTAGGATCAACGCAGCTCCAACCGTTGCAGTCATTTGGGGAGTAAACCAGCGGATGGAAGACCTCTGTCTCTCTGTCTCTCCCTCTCTGTCTGTAACTCTACCTTTCAAAATAAATAAATAAAATATTTTTAAAAAACCACATCAAGACTAGATTTTAAAAAAATGCTGGTACCATAAACACAAAAATATGACTTCACTAATTTAATCAAAAAACTGTTTTTACTGAGTGCCTATGAAGTACTAGGAAATGAGAGAGCATAGGTGAATATGACAAATGGGATGGAAAAATCTGTCTCTCTCTCTCTCCCTCTGTGTGTGTGTGTGTGTGTGTGTCTACCTTTCAAATAAATACACAGATCTTCAACCATTTTGATTGCCAGTCCCATTATCCTTTCTAGGGTTAAGATATGAGTCAGGGGCAGGCATTGTGGCATAGCGGATAAAGCCTTTGCCTGCAGTGCCAGCATCCCATGTGGACGCTGGTTCTAGTCCCGGCTGCTCCTCTTCCAATCCAGCTCTCTGCTATGGCCTGGGAAAGCAGTAGAAGATGGCCCAAGTTCTGGGGCCCCTGCTCCCACATGGGAGACCCAGAAGCAGCTCCTGGAGCCTGGCTTCTGATCAGTGCAGCTCCAGCCTTTTTGGCTATCTGGGGAGTGAACCAGCAGATAGAAGACCTTTCTCTCTCTCTCTCTCCTTCTCTCTCTCCCTCTCTCTCTCTCTGCCTCTCCTCTTTCTGTGTAACTGTGACTTTCAAGTAAAATAAATAAATCTTAAAAAAAAAAAAACACTAAGGATTTTTCCATTCACCATGGAACTATCCAGAAGCTACATGACATATAGTACCAGATGGGAGAATCTGTTTATCTTTTATTAAGCTAAACATTAAAGAGATTTGAAAAAAAATAAAGCAGTGCCACTCTTCACATGAAATTAGCTTTCTAAAGTAATTTTTATAAAGATTTATTTATTATATTTGAAAGGCAGAGTTACAAAATGAGGAAGAGGAGAGATCTTCTACCCACTGGTTCACTCCTCAAATGGCCACAATAGCGGGGCTGGGCCAGGCTGAAGCCAGGAGCCTGAGCTTCAAGGGAGTAGGGAGCTGGATAGGAGGTGAAGCAGCCAGGACTTGAACCAGCACCCAATGGGATGCTGGTATCGCAGGCAGCAGCCTAACCCACAGCACCAAAACACCAGCCCTTAAAGTAATTTTTAATGATTTATTTATTAATTTGAAAGCCAGAGGGACAGAGAAAGCGAGAGAGCTTCCATCTACTGGTTCACTCCCAAATGGCCACAATGAGCAGAGCTGGTCCAGGCTGAAACCAGGAGCCTAGAGCAGCTCCATCTTTCACATGGACAGCAGGGGCCCCAGCACTTGGGCCATCTTTCACTGCCTGCACAAGTACATTATCAGCGAGCTGGATCAAGAACAGTGTGGTCTGTACTTGAACTGGCATTCCAATATGGAATGCTGCCATCATAAGCGATGGCTGAACCTGCTTCACCACAGTGCCAGCCCCTAAAGTATTTTTCATTTTAAAAAAGTGGTAAATGTTATACCTTTGAGAAGCTACTTATGAGGGAAGAAGGTTTCTTTCAACTTACAGTTTTGGAAGTTCACTATATGAGATCAGATAACCCCATTGGACTGACAGCTGAGGAGGGTGGTGGATGGTAGAACCTGTGAGGAGGGAGGATCATGTAGTGAGCCAGGAAGCATAGAGAAAGGACTATAGTCATCCAATGGCTATGTGATTTTTGCTTATAAAATCCCCATGGTTTCATCACGGGGGCTCCACCCTCACAACCTAGTCCATTCTGGCCACTTCTCAGAGGCCTCACTTTCAAACACTGTGGTTGGATCAAGTCTCTACCTATGACTTTGCGGTGTTTTCCTTTTGAAGTTTCTATATTTCTATTTATTTGAAAGGCATAGCAACAGAGGCAGAGATAAAAAGAGAGAGATCTTCTATCCACTGGTTCACTCCCCAAAAGCCCAAAATAACCAAGGCTGGGCCAGGCCAAAGCTAGGAGCCAGGGACTCCAACAGGGTCTCCCACATGGGTGGCAGGAACTTGGCCATCTACTGCCTGCCAGGGTGTGCATCAGCAGGAAGCTGGATCAGCAGCAGAGCGGGTCTGGAACCAGGTATTCCAATGTGGGATGTGGGTGTCTCACCCAGCAGCTTAACTCACAGCACTACAGCACCCTCCCACCTTTGAAGTTTAAATATCTGCATGCTTTGGGGAATCAAATAATAGTCAAACTATAGCAACATGTACTGAAATTATTCAAAATGAATAAGTACATATTTTGATATCTGTTTCAATTTCTAATACAGTAAATATCTAGATAGCCCATATAAACAAAAGCTCTTTGATGTCCTCAATAAGAGTGTAAAAATCCTGAAACCAAAAAAAAATCTTGATACCATTGGTTCGGTGCCTTAAAAACACCAAATTTTGGGGCCAGCGCTATGGCGCAGTGAGATAACACCCTGGTCTGAAGCACAGGCATTTCATATTGGTGCCGGTTTGAGTCCCGGCTGCTCCACTTCCGATCCAGCTCTCTGCTGTGACCTGGGAAAGTAGCGGAAGATGGCCCAAATCCTTGGGCCCCTGCACCTGCGTGAGAGAGCTGGGAGAAGCTCCTAGCTCCTGCTTGAATCTGCACAGCTCCAGCCGTTGTGGCCGATTGGGGAATGAACCATAGGATGGAAGACCTCTCTCTCTCTCTCTCTCTGCCTCTCCTCTCTCTGTGTAACTCTTTCAAATAAATAAATAGGGCCGGCGCCGCGGCTCAGTAGGCTAATCCTCCGCCTTGCAGCGCCGGCACACCGGGTTCTAGTCCCGGTCGGGGCGCCGGATTCTGTCCCGGTTGCCCCTCTTCCAGGCCAGCTCTCTGCTGTGGCCAGGGAGTGCAGTGGAGGATGGCCCAGGTGCTTGGGCCCTGCACCCCATGGGAGACCAGGAGAAGCACCTGGCTCCTGGCTCCTGCCATCGGATCAGCGTGGTGCGCTGGCCGCAGCGCGCCGGCCGCGGCGGCCATTGGAGGGTGAACCAACGGCAAAGGAAGACCTTTCTCTCTGTCTCTCTCTCTCATTGTACACTCTGCCTGTCAAAAAATTAAAAAATAAATAAATAAAATAAATAAACAAACAAACAAATAAATAAAAACCACCAAAATTTGTGCCTTCTCTCTTAAGGGAGTCACAAATTCAAATTCAAATTTATAACTAAGCCTACACAATTTATTCATTAGTTCCACAAATATTTATGGGACAGGCACTATGCCAGACACTAATGATAAACCAGAGTTCCTTTAAATAAATAACTATATAATGGAGCAGATACTCGAATAACTAGGCCACCTCAGTAAGAGAGAACGCATGTTAAAATAACACCCTGAAACCAGACATTCAGTCACCTCAGAGAATCCAAGAAGACTTCCTGGAGTAGTCCCAGCAGAGACACGGAGAGTACGCACTGAACAAGGCTGACTGTGCTAGGGAGGAAAATGAAGTTTTCACAAGGGAAGAGATCACCTGGGCTGAATCTCAACACAGACAGTATTGCCTTTCCAAACAAAGGAAACACAAGTTGCAAAGTCAAATTCTTTGTCACTTTGAACATGCTTGTTGGCCATTTTAAGAATTGCCTGCAGGGCCAGTATGGTGGCTAGGGGGTAAAGAGGTATCCCATATGAGCCCCAGTTCAAGTCCCAGTTTCTCTGCTTCCAGTCCAGCTCTCTGCTAACGCTCGGGGAAAGCCAATGGAAGCTGCCCCAAGTGCTTGGTTCCCTGCTGGCACAAGGAGACCAGGAAGAAGCTCCTTGGCGCTGGTCTGGCCCAGCCCCAGCTGTTGCGCCCGTTTGGGGAGGGAACCAGAGGATGGAAATCTGTCTTTCCTTCTTTCTCTGCACCTGTGCCTTTCTTTCTTTTTTTTTTTTTTTTTTTTTTTTTTTTTGACAGGCAGAGTGGACAGTGAGAGAGAGAGACAGAGAGAAAGGTCTTCCTTTGCCTTCCTTTGCCGTTGGTTCACCCTCCAATGGCCGCCGCGGCCGGCGCGCTGCGGCCGGCACACCGCGCTGATCCGATGGCAGGAGCCAGGAGCCAGGTGCTTTTCCTGGTCTCCCATGGGGTGCAGGGCCCAAGCACCTGGGCCATCCTCCACTGCACTCCCTGGCCACAGCAGAGGGCTGGCCTGGAAGAGGGCAACCGGGACAGAATCCGGCGCCCCAACCGGGACTAGAACCCGGTGTGCCAGCGCCGCTAGGCGGAGGATTAGCCTAGTGAGCCGCGGCGCCGGCAACTGTGCCTTTCAAATAAATAAAATTTTAAAAAAAATCCTGTATTCGATCCCTTCACAGTAGCTTCTCCAACGTTGTGGGGTTGTGACAGGGAAGAAACCGCACACTGGGTCCACTGAGGCATCTCATCCCACGCGGTACACGTGCTTCGCGCAGCCGGTGAGGATGCCTTCGCCTCAGAACGCGCACAATCGGTCTTTCCTGGTTTGATTTTTCCGCATTATTGATGGAAAAGGCCAAGCTCATCTTAGAAACACAGGTTTCTCGCGCACACGAAGTCTTGCCCAGAATTGCTCAGGGGACCTTTCCTCTCAGCTTCCTCATCAAACTAGCCTGAAGCTCCCGTCAGCTGAGGAGGGTTCCCGGCCGGCTGACGGACAGCCCCGGAGTCTGAGGCGGCGGTGGCACCTCACTTAGGAACAGCAGGTTCACAAGTTCATCTAAAGAAATAAATAACTATTTTTTTTCCCTTGGTACATTGTTCCACGAGGCCGGAGTACGAATTCCTAGAGAGCTCACAAAGATTTTTTTTTTTTAAATCTAGTTTGTTTATATTCGGCCACTTGCTAAATCCACGCTTCCGCCTCCAAACGCCGTACAGCTGACTCTGTACGGAACACGCAAACCCCTCCCCTCACCCGCCCGCCCGCGCCCCTCCCGGAGCACATCCGGGACTCGGGGAAGGCGTGGCCTTGGAGGTGCCGCCCGACGCAACTTCGGGCCCCGCCCACCAGGCGGCGTTCGCCTCTCCACGCGCCCCTTCGGCCCAGCAGAGGTCGCAGGCTGAGCGAGCTGGGTTCTCGTTTGGCGAATGCCCGGCCCACCTCAGTTCTCGCGAGAGAAGGCGCGAAGGCTGCCGGGAAAGATACGCTGCCTGCCATAGATTTGTCCAAAATGGCAACCCTGGAAGAGGAAATCGCGTTGTCTACGGTGGTCCTGGGTGCCGGGCCTGACGGCCTCCTGGGCGTGGAGCCGACCGACAAAGCCGACCAGTTTCTCGTGACGGACAGCGGCAGGACCGTCGTCCACTATAAGGTGAGGACGACAGGATCGGCGCGCCCCGGCTGCGCCTCGCCCCCTCACGCGGAGCCGGCGGCTTCAGAAGGGGATCGCGGAGCGCGCTTAGCGGAGGGCCGGCTTGGCCTGGGCCAGATGCTTGGCATGTTTTCCTGGAGATAGAATTCAGAGTTTCAGGAGGCAGGGCCCCTCGGGGCACGTGGGGACCCGTGTTTCGGCTCGGACCTCCCGGGGCTGGCTCGCTGAGGTCCCGGGCGGATGACATCGGCCGGTGGGAACGGTGCTTCGGCCCTGTGTCCCTGTTCCTCATGCCCACCCCTTGGGGGCACTCATCTGGGGCGTGGGGGTGGCGCTTCCCCGGGGGCAGTCGGGGTTCTTGCTGCCGAGCGTGTTGGCCACTCTGGTCACGCTCTGAGTCCTGGAGCTGCGCCCCGCCCCTTCTTCAGCCGCAACACATTTTCCGACCTTGGTTTTGGTGGTCGTGGGGAAAAGCGAGTGTGTGTGTGTCCGGGCCCTGGATGCGGTTTACTTGTCAGGACAAAGTTAGCGGTGTTGTCTGGGCTCCTCGGCGGACTCCTGGCCCCCGGATCTGCAGGAACACGGGAGCCGATTGGAGCTGGAATGGACGTGATCCCAGTCATCCCATCTTAGCGTCCCGAGTTTCTGTGTAGAGGCATGATGGAATCAGTTTTTAGAATGTACTGTGCTAATTATGCTACTTAACGTTTTCATGTTAGGAACGTAAGCTACACATGTGTTTTCATTTTCCCTACTTTTTACGTGGTAAAAATACACGTAACAAGATTAACCTTTCAAAGTGTGGCGTTAAGTGCATTCACATAGTTGCTCCCATCACCACCAGCCGCCTCCATCGCTCTTCATCTTGCGAGACTGTTCGACTGGACCCGTTGAACAACTGCCTAATCCTGCCAGCCCCTAACAACCGCTGTTCTCTCTGCTTCTAATCATTTGGCTGCTTTAGGTACTAAGTACAAGCGAAATCTGCAGTGTCTGTGTGTGACTACTTTTTTTTTTTTTAATTTGGGAAATTTTAGCAGATGCTATTTTAATGGTTTTTTTGTTGTGTAAGTGTGATTACAATGTCTGATACTGACTTCGTGAATATTCTGCTTATGTCAATTTCACCAGGTTTCTGATCAGAAACCACTGGGGAGCTGGTCAGTGAAACAAGGTCAAGTTATAACATGTCCAGCTGTGTGCAGCTTTCAAACTGGAGAGTATATTGTTGTCCATGATAATAAGGTGAGTTTGAAAACATATCACATATATAACACAAATCTAATATTGGCTTATTACATGTAAATGGAGAATGGGATACTTTTTGACTTGTGTGCTTTGATTTAGGTTTTGAGAATATGGAATAATGAAGATGTAAACCTGGATAAAGTATTTAAAGCTACTGTAAGTCTTTGGATTTTCCAACATTTGTATTTGGCTGATTGGTGAAATGGAATTGTTCATAATATAGTACATGTTATTTTTCTTAATGTTTGTGGGAAAGTGAACAACTTTCTTAGCTTTTCATTCTAGTTTAATACATCTTGGTAATATGTCTCAACTCAAGAATTAATACGTTAGAAAATATAGACCTTATCGTCTATATATATATATGAGTTTGAGGACTCAAATGATTAATGAAAGATTAATTTATGCTTATTCCTATTAGTTTGAGTTTTTCAGGTGTATCTATTGTGAGAATAAGTAAACTTCCCATGCCCTTTGTTAGAAGAAATAATTCATGGAAAATTAATTTATACTTATTCCCCTGAGTTTATTTTTTAGGTGTGTCCTTTGTGAAAGTAAATGAACTTCCTATGCCCTTTCTTAGAAGAGATAGAATGTATCTTAAAAGTTTTGTGAGATTTATTTCTTTGAAAGGCAGAGTGACAGAGAGAGGGAGATATTTTCCGTCCACTGGTTCACTCCCCAATACCCACAACAGCTGGGGCTGCACCAGGCCAAAGCCAGAAGTCCAACTAGCCCTCCCATGTGGGTGGCAGGGACCCAAATATTTGGAACATCATCTGCTGCCTTCCCAGGATGCATTAACAGAAAACTAGATTTTAATTAGAGTAGCCAGGACTCTTAACTGGTACCCCAAAATGAGATGCAGGCATTCCCAAGTGGCAGCTAAAGCTCCAGTGTAGTGTACATTTTAAGAGTGACATATAATATTAGAAATATAATATGTATAATATATTATATATTATATTATATATTATATATATATAATATTAGAAAAAGAACCATGACTAGCTATGTATTTACTACTAATGACATAAAGTGTGTTAGTTAACTTTTTCTTAAAAGTTTCTTGTACTTCTTAATGTCTAAGTTTAATTGGCACATCTTAGAAGTGACTGACAACAGGTCCGTCTCAGATAATGGTCCAACTGTGCTGCCCCGATTCTAGTCCTTTGGTTTACCTTGCAGTAGCACAATCCTGAGTTTTACTCACAGATGTTTGTTTTTCCCCTGTATGAAGTATCAACTTCTTTTCGTGCACCTGCCGGCTGGAGTTAGCATTGTGGCATCACTCTAACACCAGAAGTGCATTCATGGCTTTATTTGTACTTTTCCCCACCTCGTTTTAGGAGACCCAGGTTCTAGCCTAACATCAGTGTTCACAATAAACAAACCAAAAATGAATAAAAATGGTTAGCTATGAAAGAGATCAGAGGACGAGATCAATAGATAAGATCAGAAGTTAGGGTCTGGTGCCGTGGTGCAGCAGGTTAAGCTACAACTTGAGAAATTCGCATCCCAAATAACTGCCAGTTCAGGTCCTGATTCCCATCTAGCTAACTGCTAATGGGCCTGGGAACACAGCAGACAGTGGCTCAAAGTGCTTGGGCCCCTGTTACCGTTGTGGGAGACCAGAATAAGAGTTTTGGACTCCTGGCTTTGTGATCATTTGGGGAAGGAACCAGTGGATGGACGATCTTCCCCCTCTCCCTCTCTCTCTCTGTTATTCTGATTTATGAATACATAAATCTTTAAAAAAAATCAGAGATTAGACTTCTGAGTGTGTTTGATTTTTAGTGTTGATTTGAATTTGGAAACATGCATAGCTATAAAACAGAATTAAATCAAAATAAGAAGAATCAGTGTCTTAAAAATAATCAGCCTTTAATAAAAGTCCTCCCATTAGGTGTGAATTGTTTTAGAGTAAAAATTTAAATATTCTGTTCTTCCAGTTGTCAGCTGAGGTATATAGGATACACTCAATACAAGGCACAGAACCCGTAGTGCTGTTCAAGGAAGGCGCAGTTCGTGGTTTAGAGGCCTTGCTCGAAGAGCCCCAGCAGAAAATTGAAGCTGTAATCTCTGATGAAGAAGTGATTAAGTAAGTTCAGTGGTTGTACATGAATTTTATTAAAATTGCAAATGTACTGTTAATTGTTTACTAATTCTTTGCCATGTTCAAAAGTGTTTTGATGAAACACATAAGAGAAGTAGCCTAACTGAAAACCATTTCTAAGACATTGGCCAAAGGAACATCCTCTAGAGTGACTGATACTTGAAGAAACCGTAAAGACCCATGTTTCTGTCACACCGCCCTGACTGCCCAGCGTGCATCCTCCTCCCCAGGACGGTGGAGCTTGTTGCTAGTGAGGTCACAGCCGTGCTTTCTCAGATTCTGCAGTAAGCCTGGAAAAATGACTCGGCCAAGTGACAGAAGGATTTTTTTTATTTTCACTTCTCTTGGGTGTTTTATGCTATCGCATTTCCTAAAGTCAAAGTGAATTTAGTAAGAGAACAATGTGCGCAGTGACCAGTTCTATCTTAGGCTGACCTGATGAAGGCCTGTAAGGTGTGAACAGCTTTGTTGGGGGAAATCTTTGGATTCTGATTGCCACTTAACTGCAGACTGCCTGTGTACCCTTGGTTAGGAACCCTGAAACCCCCAGTGCCTCACTGGGAGAACATAGGTGAGGTCCTAGTGTTTTCTTCAGAACATTACTTACAAAAGTAACTCACAAAAAAAGGACGTGGAGGAGTAGTGTGAGTTTGGAAGACGCTGGATACTATCAAGACCACCACCATCCTGCAGTCCGGAAATAACAATCCCATTCACATTGTCTGGGAGGTTCAGTTCAGTCTCCTGCGTTTAATCCAGAGATGCAGTGAATCTTGTAACACTGGATTAGATATTCTCTGATGTCTCTCTGGCTCCAAAAATTAATAAAAGGTATTTTAAATCTTAGCTGATACTGTTTCTCTCAGCTGTGAATTTTCATTTTGTAATTTTTCCTTTTAGGTGGACAAAGTTTTTCATGGTATCCAAGCACCCTGTTTTGATTTTTATTACTGAAAAAGTAAGTGATATCTTCAATTCTTAGCCCATTTTTGTGAAATTTCAGTCACTATTAGTTTTAAACCAAAATGAGACCTGTATGTTTGTTTATGGGAAGGCAGAATTATTACAGAGAGGGAGAAGGAGAGGCAGATTTTCCATCCACTGGTTCACTCCCCAAATGGCCGCAAGAGCCAGGGCTGGACCAGACCTAAGCCAGGAGCCAGGAGCTTCATTCAGGTCTCCCATCTGGATGCAGAGGCCAAGGACTTGGGCCGTCTTGTACGACTTTCCCTGATGCATTAGCAGGGAAGTGGAACTGAAGTGGAGCAGCCAGAACTTGAATCCCTGGACGCCTACATTGCAGGTGGTGGCTTAACTCATTAGGCCACAGTGCTGTCCCCAGTTTTTCTTTGTTTTTTTTTTTTTTGTTGTTGTTGTTTGGTTTTTTGGTTTTGTTTTGTTTTGTTTTGACAGGCAGAGTAGACAGGGAGAAAGACAGAGAGAAAGGTCTTCCTCCCATTGGTTCACCCCCAAATGGCCGCTATGGCCAGCACGCCGCGCCAATCTGAAGCCATGAGCCAGGTGCTTCCTCCTGGTCTCCCATGCGGGTGCAGGGCCCAAGCACTTGGGCCATCCTCCACTGCACTCCCGGGCCATAGCAGAGAGCTGGCCTGGAAGAGGAGCAACCAGGATAGGACCAGCGCCCCAACTGGGACTAGAACCCAGACTGCCGGCACTGTAGGCGGGGGATCAGCCTAGTGAGCCGCAGCGCCGGCCTCCCAGTTTTTCATCTTTACAAAGTGATATTAGTTATTATTTCCATGCCTCTATTAAACAACTATATATTTTTTTGAAGATTTGTTGATTTATTTGAAAGGCAGAGAGACAGAGGCAGAGAGAGAATCCTCCACCCACTGGTTCACTCCCCAGAAGGCTGCAATAGCCAGAGCTGGGGCTCCCACATGGGAACAGGGGCCCAAGGACTTGGGCCATCCTCCACTTCCCTCCCAGGCCATAGCAGAGCAGGATTGGAAGTGGAGCAGCCAAGCCCCTAACCAGTCCCCATATGGGATGCTGGCACCACAGGCAGCAGCTTTACCTGCCACACCACAGCATTGGCCTCTAAACAACTATTTTTATAAACATTTTAGATTAAAATGAATAAAAGTTTTGGGTTTGTGGGTGTTTTTTTGTTTGTTTGTTTTAAATATTTGTATTGTATATTAGAAAGGCAGAGTTACAGAGAGAGAGCTCTTTTTTCCATTGGTTCACTTCCCAGAATGGCTGCAAAGGGCTGGGCCAGGCCAGAGCCAGGAGCCAGGAATTCCATCCAGTTCTCCCACATGGGTGGCCGTGGCTCAACCACTGTATTCCCAGGCACATTAGGAAGTAGCTGAATCCAAAGCAAAGCAAGTACCTGCATTATAGGCCAAGAACCCATTGAATTAATTAGAATGGGACAACCTCTGGCTTTAACATACTGTGAGTATAACTGCTTGATATGGAGATTTTTATAAAATAACTTCTTTTGCAGCAGCAGCAGCATGGGAATTACTTTGCTTATGTACAAATGTTTAACCCATGTACCTTAAGCAAATATACACTCTTACTTGGAGAAGAAGAAAAAACTGTTATAAAGAATTTTACTGCATCTGTGGATCGGAAATTCATCTGTTTGATGTCATTAAGTAAGTTTTCTTTAAGCTTTTGAAGATTATAAATAGAGGGATATTGTAGGATTGTGTGTGTGTGTGTGTATTTGGTGTTTCCTTCCTGTTGATTAAACAAACACCAAGTTGATGGCCCACTTGGTAGGAAGGTGTAATGTTAAGAAAGTGAAGGCAGCACAGGGCCACAACTGACACCGTGTAAGAGGGAACCTCTGGATCTGGTACCATCTGCTTGTGGTGTTTGAGTGGTGGTGGCAGTAGAGTGTTTGTGTACACTCTGGGATGCAGAGGAGAGAGGGAAGTATAGGGGTGGAGACCAGGCATAGGAGGAGCAGCGAGGAGAGACTGGCCTCACTTCTAAGCTTCCTTCAGGAAGGGACCCCTGGATATTGGTTGGGAATGAAACATGAACTGGAAAAAATGTCCTGTGAACTGCAGTGTCTTCCTCTATTAGTTCACCATAGTAGGAAGTAGGGAACCCCATCCAGGTCTCCTGTGTGACTGGCAGGAGCCAGAGCATTCTCCCTGCTTTCCCAGGCACACTAGCAAGGAGCTGGATTGGAAGTGTAACAGCGGCCTTCTGCCACATGTTCCATCAGTGTGCATTCAGGCAATTGGTCACCCACCTCTACCAATTTATTTTCTCTGAATGAATACGGTCTGGCTGTAAAAAAAAAAAAGGAAGTGGAGCAGCCAGGACTTGAACCTGCACTTGTGGGATGCCGGCATCACGGACAACAGCTTAACCCAATGAACCACAATGCAAGTCTTGAAGCCTGGAGGGATAGATCCTTTTAGTAACTAGAATTGTCTATTCATAAAAGACTCCTAAGTATTTTAAGTTACTGAAGGTATTTACAGTTTTTATTTCCTATCTATTAAAACATTTTTTACATTGATTATTATGGTTGGATCCTTTATCAAATTATTAAAGACATATAAACAACCAAAGACATTTAGCTATAGAAGTGTCCTTTGTCCAATCATGTATGACAAATACTTGTTCTAAACAGGCTCTGATGGATGTATATATGAAAGCTTGATACCAGTATATCCGAGTGATGGAGAGAAAAATCAGAAGGTAGTTAGGTCATTGTTGCTCAAGACTGTTGTGTCTGGCAGTGCTCAGAAAAGCGTTGCCCTCACCATTCTGGATCAGAATCACGTGGCAGTCCTGGGACCTCCACTACCAGCTTCTAAAGGTAACAAATCCAGTCAACAAGGATGTCTTGCATTTTTCCTTTGGAGTGTACCTTCTACTTTTCCCCTTCTGTTTCATTTCTTTGCTACTGCTCTAATTCATTCCCTTTATCACTGTGTTTAAATTATTTTGTAACTTAGTAATGCTTTCTGAATACTTTTAATGCTTTCTAATACTTTTTGCATTGATGAATCCTTCTCAAAGACTTTAATCACTCCCTTGCTCATGACTATAAAGGCATAAAGAAATAGAAATGGTAGATGTCTGTGCCAGCTTACAATGTTGGTAAGCTCTCCACTAGAGAATTGAATTCTTGGCACTGTCTCACAGCATGGAAATCTACTAGACTTGGACAGCTTGGAATGTATGAACTAACAGGATGCTTTTGGTGTGTGTGACTTCACAGCAGGATTCTCATCAGCCCGTCTTCTTAGCCACCAACTTCCCTCCACTGCTGACTTTTAGTCTATCATGAAAATGCATTTGTTTCTTAGAAGACTGGGAACTCCCAGCCTATGCTCTAAAACCCAGACTATTGTTTAGTTTTCAGGTTCTTCCAGTCCAGGCTCCATCCTCCTTTTCTAAACCCTTTCTCCCATTTTCTGAGCAAGAAATTTTTTTTCTTGACAGGCAGAGTTAGACAGTGAGAGAGACACAGAGAGAAAGGTCTTCCTTCGTTGGTTCACCTCCAAAATGGCCACTATGGCCAATGCGCTGCACCAATCCGAGCCAGGTGCTCCTTCCTGGTCTCCCATTCAGGTGCAGGGCCCAAGCACTTGGGTCATCCTCCACTGCCAGCAACCGGGACAGAACCCAGAGTGCCAGGCCACAGGCAGAGGATTAGCCTAGTGAGCCGTGGCGCTGGCTGAGAACTTTCTGCTTTGTTCAGACCAGACTTCCCGTTCACTGTAAACATGATATGGCCATCCTCACCTGTGTACTTTGTTCTTAGGTTTCTCCTACCTGTTTTTTTGTTTTGTTTTGCTTTTTCTAAGATTAACTTTTAAAGGCAGAGTTAGAGAGAGGGCGAGATATCTTCCATCTGCTGGTTCACTCCCCAAATGGCTGCAACGGCTGGGGCTGGGTACATGGGTAGCAGGGTCCTAATCTCTTGGGCCGTCTTTGGCTGCCTTGCCAGGCGCGTTAGCAGGAAGCTGGATAAGAAGTGGAGCAATCAGGACATGAGCCAGCACCCAATTGGGATGCTGGAATTGCAAACTGGGTTTTAACCCACTATACCCCATCACTGGCCCCTCTCCTACCTGGTAAGATAGGAGCTACTAGTTATAGCATATATAATACACTGAGAGAAACAGCTGTGCTGAGAGACAGTTTTATCATCATGTTTACAAATCGGGAAACTAAAGTGGGAAATGAGTAAGTTGTGGAACCAGGATTCAACCCAAGCAGGTTAACTCTATTGTGTCATGTACCCTGCCACTCTTAGTCCTGGTTCTTAACTACTTTACCATGTTATGTTGCTCTCTTAGCATCCATCCTCCCTCTTCCTTATTCCGGCTCTGCTTTCCTCTATTACAACCCAGTGATCATTGTTAGAATTTCCTATAGAAGGACATTTAGGCCGGCGCCGCGGCTCAATAGGCTAATCCTCCACCTAGCAGTGCCGGCACATCAGGTTCTAGTCCCGGCTGGGGTGCCGGATTCTTTCCCGGTTGCCCCTCTTCCAGGCTAGCTCTCTGCTGTGGCCCGGGAAGGCAGTGGAGGATGGCCCAAGTGCTTGGGCCCTGCACCCCATGGGAGACCAGGAGGAGCACCTGGCTCCTGCCTTCGGATCAGCGAGGTGCGCTGGCTGCAGTGCGCCAGCCGTGGCGGCCATTGGAGGGTGAACCAACGGCAAAGGAAGACCTTTCTGTCTCTCTCTCACTGTCCACTCTGCCTGTCCAAAAAAAAAAGGACATTTAGTCTAGCAGTTAAGATACCTGCATCCCATATTGAAGTACCTGGGTTTAATTTCCTAGAGGCAGCAGGTGATTGCTCAAGTAATTGGATTCCTACCACCTAGTCTAGGTTCTTCCTACCTATGTTCCTTCCATTTCCATTTCATTGAACAGATGTCCTATAATGTATTTAATTAAAGAATATTTTTTAATTAGAGACCTCCTATCCACTCATTCACTTCCCTAATACCTAGGAGCTGAGAAGTCAGTCCGGGTCTCCCACATGAGTGACAGGAAACCATTTGAGCCATCACTGCTGCCTACCAGTGTCTGTATTGGTTGGGAGCTGAGTTGGGACACAAACCCAGGCACTCCAATAGGGGATAGCAGGCATCCCAAGCAACTTCTGTGTGTTAAAAGAGATTTTCCTCCTGGTTCACTCCTCTGATGGCTACAATAGCTAAGGCTGGGCCAGCTGAAGCCTAGAACCAGGAACTTCATCCAGATCTCCCACATGTGACAATACCTCAAACACTCAATTCTGATATGTAATGCGGATGTCCCAGGTGGCAGCTTAACCCACCATGCCCCAATGGCTACCCCCCAAGCAGAAGTTTGTTTTGGTTTTTTGGTTTTTTTTTTTGTCTTAAAATTCTTTTTTATTCTTGGGAATTCTTTAATGGTTTTTCAACTAGGAAAAGGATTCCTATGAAAATTAAAAAAAAAAAATCAAAAGTCCAATTTCCATGACTTTGACTGTTCAGCTTCTGCTTCTGTCATTTCCAACTATGCAGATTATTGGATGAAGTGTTCTTCAGACCTTCCAAACACCTATCCCTAAGATGTATTTCATCATTTTTCTGCCTGGACATTAACCTATCCTTTTTAGTTATATGAAGTCATATGACATTAACTATGTTTTAGTGAATAGTTCAGTGGCATCTAATGTTCACTGTCTTATGCAGCTACCCCCTCTGTATACTTTAAAAACGTGTTCATTATCACAGAAGGAAATCTTATACCTATTAATTAAGCTGTTACTCTCTGTTCTCTTCCTTGACACCTGCCAACCACTAATCTGCATTCAACTTTTATGTATTTACCTAATTTGAGTATTTCTTATACATAGTATACAATAGCTATTTTTTAAAAAAGATTTATATATTTATTTGTAAGTCATAGTTACACAGAAAGAGAAGGAGAGGCAGAGAGAGAGAGATCGTTCATCCAATGGTTCACTCCCCAGTTGGCCACAACTGCCAAAGCTGTTCCGATCCAAAGCCGGGAACCAGAAGCTTCTTCTAGGTCTCCCACGCAGGTGTAGGGGCCCAAGGACTTGGGCATCTTCTACTGCTTTCCCAGGCCATACCAGAGAGCTGGATCGGAAGTGGAGCAGCCAGGACTCAAACCAGTGCCCATATGGAATGCCGGCACTGCAGGCGGCAGCTTTACCCGCTACACCATAGCTCCAGCTCCACAGTAGCTTTTATGTTTGCTTCTTTGAATTAGCATGGTTTTTAGGTTCATTCATGTTGCATGTATCAGTATCTCCTTTTTATGGCAGAATCATTCCGTCTTATGTTTGTGCTATCCATTTGTTTATTCATGCATCGATGGGCATTTCACCTGTTTCTACCTTTTGGTTATGATGAATAATGCTGTAAATGTGTACATGCATTTGTTTCAGTACCAGTTTTTAATGCTTTGGATATATACCTGGGTATATATGCTGAGTCATATGGCAATACTGTTTTTAACTTCTTAAGAAGTGACTTACTCACTTTTACATTTAATAAAGCAATACTTGTGTATTTAGCTATGACTCCTCATCTCTCCTGAAAATATCATGTCTATACTTAACTGTTTCTGAATTTCTATGTCTTATTTTACAGAATGTCTCTCCATATGGAACATAAAGTTTCAAACCCTGCAGACTTCAAAAGAGTTACCACAAGGAACCAGTGGTCAGGTAAGCTTTTTCACTTGAGGACTTATTCAGATTTACTTATTTGTACCTAATAAATAGTAGGTAGAGATTTCTTCAGGCAGATATTTTGGCAGTGTTTTATCACTTTTAAAAGACTAAGGCATAACTAGTTTTAAATCAAGGAAAGAGAATAATCAGCTAGTTAGTAAAACAACCTGTTTTTGGCTGTTCTTTGGTTTGATATTTTCACTTTAATTTTAACTGTTAGGTTATGTATGGAATTAGAATTTAAGCTGACCAGACTGTAAACTTGCTGGATCAAGTTCTTGTCTGCCTTATATTCTTGTATTTGCAATCTTCAGTGCTCAATACGTATGGATTATCTGGTGAATGAAGATTCATATACAAATATAAGATAAATGAGGGCAACAGGATGTTACTGATCATTTTAAATGGAAGATAGACTAGGTTTCTGAGTTACAGTTTTTTCTAATTCATATTTAAACAACTGACTGTAACATACTGAACCATTCTTAGTTCCACCACTCAGAAACATTGTGTTTCCATCCTCTTTTAACCTTTTTGTTTAATTCAGACATAGGCCCGAGTTAAAGCCACAATGAACTCTAAGATGGTTAATAACACTTGTCTTATTTTTACAGTCTTACGACTGGAGTCATAAGATAAAAACATCGTAACATTCTGCTGTTTTCATTTAATATATAATAGATTACCCATGTTACAGTAGCCTTCGTAATTATGTTAAGAGATACGGAGATGGACCTTGTGTCACAGTGGGTTAAAGCTGCCATTCGTATCAGAATGGCTGGGATCACGTCCCACTTGTGCTTATCCAGCTTTCTGCTCGTGTCCCTGGGAGGCAGCAGATGGTGGCTCAAGTGAAGTTTGACTCCCTGGCTCCAGCTTGTTTCAGCCCTGGTTGTTGCAGGCATAAAGAGATGTAGGGCTGGTGCTGTGGCCTAGTAGATTAACCCTCCGCCCACGGCACTGGCATCCCAAATGGGCGCTAGTTTGTGTCTCGGCTGCTCCTCTTCTTATCCAACTCTGCTTTGGCCTGGGAAAGCAGTAGAGCAAGGCCCAAGTGCTTGGGCCTCTGCACCCACATGGGAGACCTGGAAGAAGCTTGTGGCTCCCAGATTTAGATCTGCCCAGCTCCAGCCCTTGAGGCCATTTGGGGAGTGAACCAACAGATGGGAGACGTTTCTATCTCTCCCTCTGTAACTCTCTCAAATTAGTAAATAAATCTTTTTAAAAAGAGTGAGAAAGAGATTGATAGTGACAGTATTGATTTTAAGCAATTCAGTTACTTACTTTTAAATTTTTATTTATTTAATTACTTGAAAGGCTGAGAAAAAGAGATCTCTTAATGGCTGGCTTACTCCCCAAGTGCCCACGAACAGTCAGAGCTGGGCCAGACTGAAGTTAGGAACCAAGAATTCAAGCCAGATCACCCATGTGAATAGCAGAGATCCAAGTACTTGCACCGTCACCTGTAGCTCCGCAGGTTGCACAAAGGCAGGATGCTGCACTTGGGAGCAGACCCGGGACTCAGACGCTGATGTGGGATATGGGTGACCCAAGTGGCATCTTAAGAGCTATACCAAATGTCCACCTCAATTCAGTTATTTTCAATGTACATGTTACTTGGGTTTTCTGAGTCAAAAATATCCGCTAAATTATTCATTCAGACTTCAGCAAAAAATCATCAGTATGTAATTCTACTCCAATTTGAACATGTGAGATTCTTTTGGAAAGTTGCTTGTGCTTGTCCCTTTTTTAAAAAATAGCAAGATAGCTTATATAGTAAGTTGTTCTAATAAGCCTTTCTTGAGTCATATTTTAGAAGAGAAAAAATTGGCCGGTACTGCGGCTCACTAGGCTAATCCTCCACCTGCGGCGCCAGCACCCCGGGTTCTAGTCCCAGTTGGGGCGCCGGTTCTGTCCCGGTTGCTCCTCTTCCTGTCCAGCTCTCTGCTGTGGCCCGGGAAGGCCGTGGAGGATGGCCCAGGTCCTTGGGCCCGCACCCGCATGAGAGACCTGGAGGAAGCACCTGGCTCCTGGCTTCGGATCGGCACATTGCGCCGGCCGTAGCAGCCATTTGGGGGGTGAACCAACGGAAGGAAAACCTTTCTCTCTGTGTTTCTCTCACTGTCTAACTCTGCCTGTCAAAAAAGAAGAGAAAAAATTGCTTATGTTTTTGGTAACTTCTTTTGTAGCTCTGGTATTATGGGGAAACTCTATTTATGCTCCATGGAAAATATCTAACTGTGATTCCGTACAAGTGTGAAGCGTCATCATTAGCAGGTGCTCTTGGAAAACTCAAGCATAGTCAAGATCCAGGTAGAAACTTACTTATGTTTACTAATACAAGCCATTTTACTTGCTCCAAATTTCGTATGTGGATTCTCATAGCCTCCTTTTTTACAGAGCATATTCTTAATGTTGACATTTACCACTGTGCATTGATCCAGGTAGCTTCCTTGGGAACAGCCCTCACTGCAAAGAGCTACACTGTGTTATAAATGCCATGTTCTTCCGGTGTTAGGGGCACTGGAAGAAGACCCAAGGCAAGAGCAATACATCTGCCCTCCCTTGTTCACCCTGGCCTCGGGTATTGGCTTAATGTTGCTAGATGCAAAGCCTTTTGCTAACATTTATTAATCAGAGGTTATCAGAATTACTGAACATTAAAGCCTGTCTGGAATGATACATAAGTGGTGGTTTTTATTATTCAATTGGGTAAATGCTAATAGGTCAAAATATTATAGAATTTGTCTTTTTTTGTGTATGTCTTCTTAGGCACTCATACCATACCCCATTTTGTAAACTGGGAAACATCTCAAGGCTGTGAACTTGGATCCCAGAACTCAGAACAGTCAAAGAGAATTGTAAGTTCAGTTATATAAAGAGAAATGTTAGTGCAAATGTTGAAAAACAGAAAGACTAAATTATTATAATGATTCATATCCATATAACTCTTAAATCACTGTCCTAATGACAAGGCACTTTGAAATTGAATCCCGTAACCTCACAACCTTTATCCAAAAATAATATATGTAGTCTAGTAGTTTTTATGGGTGCATATGTAGTATTAAAAAGTGTGAAAACAGGCCGGCACCGCGGCTTAATAGGCTAATCCTCCACCTGCGGTGCCAGCACCCCGGGTTCTAGTCCCAGTCGGGGCGCCGGATTCTGTCCCGATTGCCCCTCTTCCAGGCCAGCACTGGAAATGCAGTGGAGGATGGCCCAAGTCCTTGGGCCCTGCACCCCATGGGAGACCAGGATAAGCACCTGGCTCCTGTCATCAGATCAGCGCGATGCAGCAGCCATTGGAGGGTGAACCAACGGCAAAAGGAAGACCTCTCTCTCTCACTGCCCACTCTGCCAGTCAAAAAAAAAAAAAGTGTGAAAACAAACCAGTTTGCAATTAGCCATAATACAGGAAGTTTTATTTTGTGATTAAAGAACAACAGCTTTAAATTTGTTCTAGATATCTAATTTCAAAGTTAAAGTAAACCCACTTTTCTCTGTAACAAAATTTGTTTTTGAAAGCTTGTAATTAGAGCAAAAGTGTACTAATCTCTTGGGAGTGTTCTGCATATATGTTGGGTCTTTTCTGATGTTTGAGATCTTAATAGATTTACTTAATTCCAGTTAAGGAGAAGAAAAACTGAAGTGAGTTTACAGCCAGAGGTTCCAGCATCCACACAACTTCTGTTAAACATAAAGGTAAATAACGAGTATTTGAAATATGAAAAATCAACTCAAATGGTGAAAAAGTCTCATCTACTTCATCCTGCCTTATTAGGGTCATATTTATTGCTAGAGCTAAGATTTGTATCTGAAGGTTGTCAGAGTTGGGCTAATACTTTCGGGTTTTTTTATTCTTTTTTTTTTTCTTTTCCTTTTTAAGATTTGTTTATTTGAAAAATAGGGTGACAGAGAGCTCTTCCATCCCTGGTTCACTTCCCAGTGACTGCAGTTAGGACTGGGCCAGACTGAAACCAGGAGGCAGGAACTCCATGCAGGTCTCCCACATGGATGGCAGGAACTCAAGCACGTGAGCCATCACTCGCTGCTTGCCAGGACCATTAGCAGGGAGCTGGATTGCAAGCAGTGAGGCCAGAACTGAAACCAGTGTGAGATGCAGATGTCCCGGATGGTGGCTAAGCCTGCTGTACCACAACACCACCCCTCTATCTGATTCCTGCTACCATCTCATGAGAGTAATACTGATGTTGGCCCTGTCAGTGTCTCATTCAGCTTTACACTGAATGTGTTTGAACCACTGAGGGTTCTTTCCCCTTTGCAGATTTTACACAGCAGATTTTAGTATCAATTTGCTTGACAGGGACATATGAACTCTGTTAGTGATTTGAGAAAAGTTTGTGGTAGGAAATTTTTAAGTTCAGAGTGACATTTATTAATGTACCAGGCTGAATTCTTTAATTTTGTCTTTCTAGAAAGATTCAGAAAAACACATCGAAATAGAACTTCGTAAATTTTTGGCACTTAAGCAGACACCTGACTTCCACACTGTTGTTGGGGACATAGTGGCAGGACTCCTGGGAAGATGTAAAGAAGAGCCATCGTTTTATCCCCGGAACTGTCTGATGCAACTTATCCAGACACACATGCTTTCCTACAGGTAGGTAGGTGTTCATATACACCGCATTTCTTAATCCAGTTTTTCACACTTCTAGTTTTCATACTCTGAAAAAGCTTATAAATTATAAGAGATTATATATACGATTTTTGTTAATAGCCTGATAATTCTTTTTTTTTTTTTTTTGGTCTTAGTTTGTGCCCCGGCTTACTGGAGATTGCCTTAGAAAAGACAGATGTGCAGATGTTACAGCTTTGTCTACAACAGTTCCCTGATATTCCTGAATCAGTCACCTGTACTTGCTTAAAAATTTTCTTAAGGTAACTTTTAATCCAATGTTCTTTTTCCTTCACTACATTTTTAAGTACATTTTTATTTGGTTTCTTAAACTTTAAGTAGAAAATAAAATTTTTTTTCAAAAGTTCGGCTATTGCTAAGAATTAATCTTTTGGTTTGACTTAACATCATAGCATTGATGATGACAGTCTTCGGGAAATAGATATCAACATGGAGTCAGTTTCTGACTATAATGATACTGCACAAGATGAGAATATGGAAGAGCAAACCGGAATTCTTCAAAATGGCTTCAGTTCTGAGGAAGACAACTGCAATAGCTGTGATCCAGAGCTAAACCAAAAACCTCAGGATGCAACACAGGCGACCACGTCGTGCCCCGTCATACCACAGAGGGCAGCTCTGCTGTATCCTTTGAAGCAGTTTTCCTTGTAATGTCTCTTCCTAGGTCATACACCTGCTGGGACTGGATTATGTTCAATGCTGCATGCAAACAGCCTACTCGAGCTTGTTTTCTTAATTAAGTAGCTATATTAGGAGCAGGTGTTGACCCTACCAGTTAAGCTGCTAGTAGGAAAACTTGCATCCCATATCAGAGTAACCTGGGTTTGATACTTGCCTCTGGCTTCTGATTTCAGCTTGCTACTAATGGAAGGGAGGCAATGATGATGGCTCAAATGATTGAGTTCCTGTCAACCAGAGTCCTGGGTTGTATGTAAGGCTTGCAGCTTGAGGCTGTTGCAGGCATTTGGGAAATGAACTGGTGGCTGGGAGCTTTCTGCCTCTTATAAATAAAAAGAGAGAATGGGCCAGTGGGCTAGTACAATAGATTGGGCATCCACCATCAGTGTCATCTGGCTTCCCACTAATGAGATATAATAGTGAACTACTCCAAAAGGTCTCTAATGATTAGGAGAGTATTTAGTATAATATCAAGAGGGGCAGGCATTGTGGCACAGCAAGCTAAGCTGCAACCTGCATTGCTGGCATCCCATGTTTGATTCCTGGTTCAAGTCTCAGCTGCTCTGCTTCTGATTCAGCTCCCTGCTAATGCACGTGGGAAAGCAGTGGATTAAAACTTTGACCCCTGCCACCTATGTGAGAGACCTGGAGGAAGCTCCAGGCTTCCGACTTGAGCCTGAACCAGCCCACGCCATTCCAGCGTGAACCAGTCGACAGAAGCACGCACTTGCTCCCACACTCTTTCCCTCCCTCCCTCCCTCCCTCCTTCCTTCCTTCCTTCCTTCCATCCCTCCCTCTCCTCCCTCTTCGTCTCCCTTTCTTCCTCTCTCATTTACCCACACTCTCATGTACATAAGTAAATCATGTTTTTAAATTCAGGAAGAGAAAAAGAATTACAGTAGAAATAGACTTGATTTATTGAAATAAGATTTTTTTCCTTCAGTCCTAAGTAGAAATGCAATTCTTCATTCAGCGTATAGTGAAATATTCCTTCTGCCTTACTTGAAAGACATCCCAGCACAACATGTCACTGTAAGTATTCTTATAAGGGCTATAGCGTTACACTGTTGCTTTTAAGTTTTGCAGCTTAACTCTAGTGAGCTATTAGGGTGCTCAAAAGATGATCAAACTCTTTCATGTAGATAAGAAATTGCCCAGCCCTTGTGAAAAATTGTACCAAGAAAACTAGAATGATTTTTGGGTGACAGACCTTTGGTCTTTTCCTTGTGCCAAGCTTGAAGACCAAGTTGAGAGTTGTTAAATAGATACTAAAAAGGATTGTCTCTTATTTACAAATACTGTGCTCATCACCTGTTCCTCACGTACCAGATGAACTCCTCATTGAAGACAGGGATTTCATTTTATTCATTTTTTGTATTCCCAGATATCTGGCATATATTGTATAGTTAAATTGAATAGTCTGTTAGGATTCTTTCCAGCCTCTGTTAGAGGAAAAGAAAAATTTTCCTATCAAAGTGTTAAGTTGTCCCTTTTTTCCACCCAGCTGTTTCTCCAGTATTTGTATTTTCTTTATCTGAAGTGTAGCAAAAATGCTACAATGACGCTTCCTGGAATACACCCTCCAACTCTAAGCCAGGTGAGATCTTTTTTTTTTTTTTCTTTGATTTGATTTGATTTGGTGCTTGGGAAAAATCTGTTAAAATAAACAAGCTAGTTGGCTTGTGGTATGTCGCTCCCCCTCTTCGTGGAGGAACGACACAGGACCCTGCGCTGTTCTTTCGTCTGCTCGGCCCTCCCCGGGTTTGCTGCTGGTTCTTCCCGGGTTGGCTACTATCCCTTCCACCTCCGTGGAAGGGCAGTTCCCCCTGGCCGCATTCCCCACTTCCGCAGGGGAGCGGCACACCGCCGGCCGGCTCTCTCGGGGGCTGCACGGGTTCCCTTAGATGTTCCCCATAGATGTTCCTGGTGCATGCCGTCTCTCTCCTCCTTTATAGTCCTCCTCCGCCAATCCTAACTCGGCTGCCCACACGCCGAGTACGCTGCTCTCCAATCAGGAGCAAGTCCTACAGTTTATTAGCTGAACTGGAGGCAGCTGTGCGGAAGCTGTTTACTTCTCTCCCAGCGCCATATTGTGGGAGAGCAGATGCATAGAATAAGTCTTAATTCGAGTAACTCAGTCTAGTCCGGATTGCTCCCCACAGTGGTACAGTAGGTTAAGACACCACTGAAGACATCAGTGTCCCATATCACTACTCTGTTTTTGAGTCACAGCTGTTCTGCCTCTTTATTTACTTTTTTCCCAAAGATTGATTTATTATTTTGTTTGAAAGAGCTACAGAGAGAAAAGGACAGACAGAGAGGTCTTGCATCTGCTGGTTCATTCCCTGAATGGCCACAACCACAGGCCGAAGCCAAGAACTTCATCCGGGTCTTCCACATGGGTGCAGGGGCCCAAGCAGTTGGGCCATCTTCTGCTGCTTTTCCCAGGCCATCAGCAGGGTGCGGGATCAGAAGTGGAGCAGCTGAAACTTGAACCAGTGCCCATATGGGATTCTGGTGTTGGAGACAGCAGCTTAACCTGCTACACCACAGCACCCTGTTCTGCTTCTGATCCAGCTCCCTGCTGATGTGCCTGGGAAGGCAGTGGTAGATGGTTCAAGTACTTAGGCCTCTGCTATCCACATGGGAGACCTAGGTGGTCCTAGCTCCTAGCTTCTTGGCCCAACCCTGGCTATGGCGGCTGTTTGGGGAATGAACCAGCAGATGGAAGAGATCTCTCTCTCTCTCCCTCTCTTTGTCTTTCAAAAAAATAAATAGACCTTTAAAAAAGAAAGCAGCAGCAGCTTGTATGCAGTGTCAGCACCTGGAGTTGAATGAATGATTTCTCTGTCTCCTAGTCCATATGAATCTACTTCATCATGTAGAGGTGGAGACGGGGAGTCCATCGATTTGGTATATAGATTTAGAATGGATAATTCTGTGCTGCAGAATTTAAATTGATCTTACGTTCGTGACTCATCATTATAACCTTTTCCAGGAGTTTCCTTAGCTGTGTTGGAGAAGACAGGAGAGCCTGATAATAGTTGTTCCTTTTATTTTAGATTTATTTATTTATTTATTTGAGAAGTAGAGTTACAGAGAGAGGGAGAAACAGAGAGAAAGCTCTTCTTTCCTCTAGTTCACTCCCCAAATGGTCGCCAGAGCTGGGCCAATCCGAAGCCAGGAGCTGGATTGGAAGTGGAACAGCTGGGGCTTGAACCGGAGCCCATATAGGATGCCAGCACTGTAGGCCCTACTGTGCACAGCACTGGCCCCCATTAGTTGCTCCCTTTAATAATCTCTTAAAGGTCAGCATTTGAGGCAGCAGTTAACACACAACTTGGAATGTCTACAGTCTGTATACCTGCTTCAAGTCATGGCTCTGTTCCTGGGTCCAGCTTGCCAGTGCACACCAATGCAAATAATGCCTCAAGTAATTGGGTCCCTACCATCCATGCAGGAGACCTTGATGAATTTTAGGCTGCTGGCTTCAGCCTGGCCCATTCCCTATTGTTGTAGGCATTTGAGAAGTAAGCTAATGAATGGTTGGAAGATCTCTGTCTCTGTGCCTTTAAACTATAATTAATAAAGGGCTGACATTGTGGCATAGCAGGTTGAGCCTTCGCCTGCGCTGCTGGCATCCCATATGGGTGCCAATTCAAGTACTGGCTGCTCCACTTTGATCTAGCTCCCTGCTTGTGTGCCTGGGAAAGCAGCTGAAGATGATCCAAGTGCTTGGGCCCCTGCACCCTGTGGAAGACCTGGAAGAATCTCCTGGCTTTGGCCTGGCCCAGTCTCAGCCATTGAGGCCATTTGGAGAGTGAGCCAATGGATATAAGATCTCTGTCTCTGTGTTACTCTGCTGTTCACATAAATAAATAAATCTATAAATATAAAGAATAGAGGCTGGCTATGCTGCCTTCCCAGGCCCATTAAGCGGGCAGCTGGATTGGAAGCACTCCAGTACGGAATGCTAGAGTTGCAAGTGTCGTCTGAATGTGCTGGGCCACAATGCCAGTCCCTCTTTATTTTTTGTTTCTGGGTTTTTTAAGATTTATTTATTTTGAAAGTCAGAGAGTTAGAGAAAAATGGAGTCTTCCATCCACTGGTTCACTCCCTAAAAGGCCTCAATGGCCAGAGCTGGGCCAGACTGAAGCTAGGACCCAAGAGCTTCATCTGGGTCTCAGATGTGGGTGCAGGGGCCCAAAGACATCCCCAGCCATCATCAGGGAACTGGATCAGAAGTGGAGCAGCCAGGATATGAACTGGCACCTGTAATTTGTTTCCTCTCTTAAGTATAATTTTGACATAGATAAGCTTTTTAATTTTTATATTATTAAAATTTACTAGGATTTTCCTTTATGGCTTTTTCAGACTTCTGTCTAACCCTTCTAACTTTCTTTTTTTTTTTTTTTTTTATCTTTTTTTTTTTTTTTTTTTTTTTTTTTTGACAGGCAGAGTGGACAGTGAAAGAGAGAGACAGAGAGAAAGGTCTTCCTTTGCCGTTGGTTCACCCTCCAATGGCCGGCGCGCTGCAGCCGGCGCACCGCGCTGATCCGATGGCAGGAGCCAGGTACTTCTCCTGGTCTCCCATGGGGTGCAGGGCCCAAGGACTTGAGCCATCCTCCACTGCACTCCCGGGCCACAGCAGAGAGCTGGCCTGGAAGAGGGGCAACCGGGACAGAATCCGGCGCCCCGACTGGGATTAGAACCCGGTGTGCCGGTGCCGCAAGGTGGAGGATTAGCCTAGTGAGCCGCGGCGCCGGCCCTAACCCTTCTAACTTTTAAAAGTAATCATCTTGTTTTCCCACAGTACAGTCATGGTTTCATTTTCTACGTTTAACTTTAGTTTTATAGGTATTAGTTTCCCCACCACAGATTAACCAGTAATGCTTTACATGATATCATATTTCCACGTTAAATGCACAATTTGAAGATACATAACAACATAAGTTACTTTTTAAAAAAAGATTTATTTATTATTTATTTATTTGAAAAGAGAGAGAGAGAGAGAGATCTTCTCTCCATTGGTTCACTCCCTAGGTGGCCACAAAAGCCAGGGCTGGATCAGGCTGGAGCCAGGAGCTTCTTCCTGGTCTCTCATGTGAGCAGCAAGGGCCCAAGCACTTGGGCTTTCCTCTGCTGCTTTTTCCAGGCCATTAGCAAGGAACTGGACCTGGAGTGGAGCAGTCAGGACTCAAGCTGGTGTCCCTATGGGATGCAGACATCATAGGTGGCAGCTTTATAAGCTACACCACAGCTCCAGCCCCCATAAATTGTTTTTATAAACGTGTGGTAATCATTTTAGTTTGTGACTGCTTATTTATAATACACAATAACCTATATCAGAATAGAAGATGAAGAAGTTCTTTTTCTTTGTAACTGCAAATAATTATCAAAATAATTTTGGAAGGACTGGTGCTGTGGCGCAGCAGGTTAATCCTCCACCTGCTGTGCCAGATCCAATATGGATGCCTGTTCTAGTCTCGGCTGCTGCTTTCTGCTATGGCTTTGGAAAGCAGTAGAAGATGGCTCAAATTGGGGCCGACACTGAGGCATAGCCAGTAAAGCTGCCTCCTGCAGGGCCGACATCCCATATGGGCACTGGTTCAAGTCCCGGCTGCTCCACTTCCCATCCAGCTCTCTGCTATGGCCTGGGAAAGCAGTAGAAGATGGCCCAAAAGCCCTTGGGCCCCTGCACCCACATGGGAAACCCACAAGAAGGTCCTGGCTCCTGGCTTCGGATTAGTGCAGTTCTGGCCATTGCGGCCAATTGGGGAGTGAACCAGCAGATGGGAGACCTCTCTCCCTCTCTGCTTCTCCTCTCTCTGTGTAACTCCAACTTTCAAATAAAATAATCTTAAAAAAAAAAAAGAGGCCGGCGCTGTGGCTCAATAGGCTAATCTTCCGCCTGCAGCGCCGGCACTCTGGTTTCTAGTCCCGGTCGGGGCGCCGGATTCTGTCCCGGTTGCCCCTCTTCCAGTCCAGCTCTCTGCTGTGGCCCTGGAAGGCAGTTGAGGATGGCCCAAGTGCTTGGGCCCTGCATCCACATGGGAGACCAGGAGAAGCACCTGGCTCCTGGCTTCAGATCAGCGCAGTGCGCCAGCCACAGCAGCCATTTGGGGGGGTGAACCAACGGAAGGAAGACCTTTCTCTCTGTCTCTCTCTCTCACTGTCCACTCTGCCTGTCAAAAAAATAAAAAAGATGGCTCAAATGCTTGGGCCCCTGCGGCTGCATGGGAGACCCGTAAGAAGCTCCTGGCTTCAGATCAATGCAGCTCCGGCCGTTGCAGCCATCTAGGGAGTGAACTGGTGGATGGAAGACCTCTCTCTCTCTCTCTCTTTCTCTCTCTCCCTCTCTCTCTCTCTGCCTCAGCCTCTGTAACTCTGCCTTTCAAATAAAAAGAGTCCTTTTTTAAAAAAATCACCATCTTTCCTGTTGCTGATTAATCATATGAAAAAATCCAGTTATGCTTGTAAACTAAATACAAAAGCAGAAAAATCCTTTTCATATTTCTTAGAAATTCTTCCATCTCTAAATTAAAATGTGAAGACTTATTTTTCTTGTAACTATCTGATATAATTAGGTACACTGATGCATGGATTCACCTAAAATTGCATATAGAACCTTCACTTTGCCGTTCCTATTCCTCTTCAGATTATGGACTGGATATGCCTGCTACTAGATGCTAACTTCACTGTTGTGGTTATGATGCCAGAAGCAAAGAGGCTACTGATGAATCTGTACAAGTTTGTAAAATCCCAGGTTTGTGATTATTTGATATATAATGATTCTGTTTGTCCCCAGGTAGATCCTAAATTACAACTAGCTCTAAATTTTTTTTTCTTTGAAAAGTTCATGTTATAAAGAATTTATTTATATGTAAAAGTGATGGCAAAATTTACTGGGAAACTTTTTTCTTTAGATCTCCGTTTATTCCGAGCTTAACAAGATAGAAGTAAGTTTCCGGGAGCTACAGAAGCTAAACCAGGAAAAGCACAGTAGAGGACTGTATTCAATCGAAGTGCTACACCTCTTCTGACACGCCAGCTTTCCTTCACGTGACTTCGTAGTCATCTGAACGAAGTGCTGTTCTGTTTGTGAGCATCTCACAGCATCGCGAATCCCTGGACCGTCACTCACTGACGCTCTTAGGTGGGACTGCAGGTTTCACTGAACCTGTTCTAGATTGTGGACATCACGGGCTTGAACTTCTGAGTGTTTTTTAAATATGTGACTGAACTGCTTTTAGGTAAACTTATTTCTGTATTGATAAAAATTTAATTTTTTATCATGTATTTTGAATAGTTTTTGTTTTAATTATAAAAACCACTACAAAGCAGTGATTCTAGAAAGAATGCAGGTGTCCAAGAATGCAGAGATCAGGAGCACAAGCAGGGCAGAAAGGTCTTATGGCGGCATGCGCTGACTCCTGCCGTTGCCACCTGGCCTGCCTACTTCCACTCACCTTCCGTACTCAGGAGCTGAAGAATACTGCCTCCTGAGCCAGGCACTGTGGGGCAGCGGGACAAGCCACATCTTGAGATGCCTACATCCCCTATCAGAAAGCTGATTGGAGTCCTAGCTCCTTTGCTCCAATCCAGCCCAACTTCCTGCTATTATGCCTGGAAAGGCAGCAGATGGTGGCCCAGGTCCTTGGGTCCCTGCCACCCGTGTGAAATACCCAGATGGAGTCTGATAGAGTATGTAGACATCCCAAGTGGTGACGTAAGTCACTGTACCAAATACCCTTCCCAGGAATCAGTTTTCTTAACTGGTCTCTACTACATACATGCAAGTGCAGGGGCCCAAGGACTTGGGCCATCTTCCACTGCTTTCCCAGGCCGTAGCAGAGAGCTGGATCAGAAGAGGAGCAGCCAGGACTCGAACCAGCACCCATATTTTACCCACTCTGCGACAGTGCCAGACCCTAATCTTTGTGCCTGTATTTTATTTTCTGTATTATTTATTTATTTTATTGATCTTCCTTGCTTCCGTAGTATTCCTTTATGTAGAATGGTGGAGAATGCCACAGAGAATTTTTAGATTATGAGTTCGTTGGCTCTTTTTGACCAAAAAGAGAGTTTAATGAATCTTTGTAAAGGTACTCTGTCTCATTGTATCAAAGCTGCAGATATGGGCACAGCATCCATTTGTATGGGTTGCAACAGGGGCCTTCCTGATAGAGCTTAGCATGCCTGGGCTCCAGAGAGAAGCTGAGAGGTTTGCTCTAAGTTGCCTGCTATACATGTTTGAACTCAAAACATCAATTAGGACAGTTGGATTTGGCTTAAGGGTCTAGGGCCAGGGATTATGGTTTGGGAAAGAGGCAAGGGATGAAGCAGAAGGAACTGTTAGGAAGTGGAATAAGGTGACACAGAATGTCCTCTTTGAATAATTATTGAATGATTGGAGAACACAGCTTGGGTGGGAAATGAATATGAAACAGGAGGAAAGTTCCCACAGACGAGGGAAGATTGGATTAGACGCAGAGGCAGCAAGTTAGGAGAGGCAAAGAGAAGAAACTTTTTTTTTAAAGAGTTATTTTTTTATTTGAAAGGCATAGTTACAAAGAGGCAGAGAGAGAGAGAAGTCTTCCATCCACTGGTTCACTCCCCAGATGGCCACAATGGCTGGAGCTACATCAGTCCAAAGCCAAGAGTTTCTTCTGGGTCTCTCACGTGGATACATGTGCCCAAGGACTTGGGCCATTTTCTACTGTTTTCCCAGACCACCAGCAGAGAGAGCTGGATTGGAAGTGGAGCAGCTGGGACTCGAACTACCACCCATATGGGATGCTGGCACACCAGGCAGCAGCTTTACCCGCTATGCCATAGCACAGGCCCCAGGAAACATTATTTAGCAGAGGAGTTTCTCCTGCCCTGACCTTGGGAAGGTGAACCTTAAAGAATTTCACTTGCTTAAACCATTTACTTTTCTTTATTTATATATATAAGTATATATATAAATTTTAAAAAGCAATATTCAGATTTTCTGCATTTTCTTCTGTTATAAACTTAAAAGTTGGCCTGCGCCACAGCTCAGTAGGCTAATCCTCCGCCTGCGGCACGGGCACCTCGGGTTCTAGTCCCTGTTGGGGCGCCGGATGCTGTCCCGGTTGCTCCTCTTCCAGGCCAGCTCTCTGCTGTGGCCCGGGAAGGCAGTTGAGGATGGCCCAAGTCCTTGGGCCCTGCACCCGCATGGGAGACTAGGAGGAAGCACCTGGCTCCTGGCTTCAGATTGGCACAGCGCGCCAGCTGTAGCAGCCACTTGGGGGGTGAACCAACAGAAAAAGGAAAACCTTTCTCTCTGTCTCTCTCTCTCACTGTCTAACTCTGGCTGTAAAAAAAACAAAAACAAACAAAAAAACAAAAAAGTTATCCATCCATTTGTTCAGATTTGCTTATTATTTGGCAATCAAAGCATTAAACAATGACAATCTTAGTTCTTAATCCTTAATATTATATTCATGATATTTGAGACTGTTCAGCTTCCTCATGGAGAAAAAGAATTCCAGGCATAAACCTTTACGTCATCCATCCGCAGTTTCCACAAAGTGAGCAGAGACAGCGACAAGAGTGATTGAAGGGGCAGGTTTTTTTTTTTTTTTTTTCGGCTTTTCGGTATCTCATTTATTTTTCTCTTGGTTTTAGATTTATTATTGAAGAGTTACGCAGAGAGAGGAAAGGCAGAGAGAGGTCTTCCTTCTGCTGGTTCACGCCCCTTTGGCCTCAACGGCCAGAGCTGCGCCGATCCGAAGCCAGGAGCCAGAAGCTTCTTTCGGGTCTCCCACGTGGGTGCAGGGGCCCAAGGACCTGGGCTGCCATCTACTGCTTTCCCAGGCCATAGCAGAGAGCTGGATTGGAAGTGGAGCAGCCGGGTCTTGAACCAGCGCCCATATGGGATGCTGGCACTTCAGGCCAGGGTGTTAACCCGCTGCGCCACAGCCCCAGCCCCAGAAAGGGCCAGCTTTGTAAGTCAAGAGTTATAATCCTTTATCCACTGCTCAATCCATTTCAAGATCTGACTTAAGTTTTTTTCTGGTTTATTGCTGGGCAACTGATGCATAATTTCTTCCTTGCACAACTCCGTCGTTTCTTCGTAAAGAACTTGAAAAATCTCACATTGAATATTGTCATTTAGTTTCTTCTCACTGTAACCTCTTGTCTCCAGTCTTTGTTCAACACACGGGTATCTGTTCTCAGCACAAAAACTATATAAAACCAGTGTTCATGAAGAAATCACAGCCGTAGTAATCAACAATAGCTCCACCATCTCTCATTTGGTTACCTAACTCATTACTCTATCTTCATCTAAAATAGGACAGTTATACTCTTCATCAGGGCTATCATATAATTCCCCTTCTTGAGCAAAATCACCCACATTAACACGTTTCAGTCCTGATCTTGATCAAGCCCTTTGCCCAGTGTGGTTTTCCCAACCCCTGGCTTACTGGCGAGCAGAATGTTCTGCAGCAGCTTAGTCCTCCCGGCGCAGACTCCAGGGGCCTCCTCCTGCGCGTCCTACGGTCAAACCATTCACTTCCCACAGGCGTCATCAGCAAGTAGACTGTGCTGCAAACCCCAAGACTTGATAGGAAACTTCTATATGGAAGGGGTCAACTTTTAAAAAGAGGCACAAAGATGGGGAGAGTTCTCACCCTGGTCACTCGACAGATATTTACTGAGCACCTGCTCAGGAGAATATAAAGGATGGGGGAGAAATTCCTGCTTTTTGTGTGCTTGCTTTCTAGAAGAGACCACAAAGCAAAATCTCAGTAGCCAGACTGGACCAGGCTGAAGCCAAGAGCCTGGAACTCCACCTGGATTTCCCGCGTAGGTGGCAGGGACCCATCATCTGCTGCCTTCCAGGGACATTAACAGGATGCTGTATTGAAAGCAGGGAACCAACACTGCTGGCACTTGGATATGGGGTGCAGGCATCCCGAGCAGCAGCCTAACTCTGCACCACAGTTCTTGCCCTCAAACTTTTTTTTTCCTTAAACATTTATTTATTTATTTATTTGAAAGTCAGAGTTACACACAGAGAGAAGGAGAGGCAGAGAGAGAGAGAGAGAAGTCTTCCATCCACTAGTTCACTCCCCATTTGTCTGCAATAGCCAGAGCTGCACCAATCCAAAGCCAGGAGGCAGGAGCTTCTTCCGGGTCTCCACGTGGGTGCAGGGGCCCAAGGACTGGGCCCATCTTCTATAGCTTTCCCAGGCCATAGCAGAGAGCTGGATTGGAAGAGGAGCAGCTGGAACTCGAACCGATGCCCATATGGGATGCCAGCACTGCAGGCGACGGCTTTACCAGCTAAGCCACAGCACCAGCCCAGCCCTCCCCCCTCCCCCCCCGACTTCTGATCTCATGAATCAGTACGAGTCTGGCATGAGGTTGCCGGAGTTCTGTTTTGCTCACAGAGAACTCTCTTTGTTACCCTGATTTGTCTCAGTTTGCCTCTGAGTGAACAGTCACTAGCATCACCACTGGAGTTGTTTGGGAGACACAGCCTTCCAGTACCGTTGCAGACCGAGAATTAGGGGCAGGCTTTGAGGGGATAGTATTTGTTTGGGTAGAGGTAAGTAAGAATTGATCATATTCTTCAAAAAACTAATTTGCTGATTGCAGGCTGACTATACTGGTAACACTCTTGTGGCTCAGGTGTCCTGTGGGTTTGCTGAGATCCGTATTACTGAAAAGCCTGTGGTTTGTCAAGTCTCCTACCATTTTTCTCTTTGAACTATTAACTTTTATTTATACAGGAGACCATAACATGATTACTTTGGATAAATACCTTTCCATTAGCATGAAAGTTCTGAGTATTCAGTTACAAAGATGGCCGTCTAGTTCAGAGGTTGACAGACTACAGCCTACGGTTCAAATCCAGCTGACTGGTTATTCTATGGCTCGTGGCTAAAAATTTTGGTGTTTATATCTTTTAAAGATTGGGGGTGAGGGAAAGAGCATTTCCTAACACATGAAAACTGCAGAAATTCAAGTTTCCATTTCATAAATAAAATGTCATTAAAACACAACTGTGCTTATTTGTGTATGTTTTGTCTGTTGTTGCTTTCACAGTACAGTGGCAAAATTGAGTGTGTATGTGTGGAATATAGTTAAGAATTGCTCTTAACCCAAGGAGAGGTCTGTCCTTTGCCCTTTTCTGGGATGTAACCTCTAACCTCCAGCATGTCCTAATGTGTGTCTTTGTTTGCCTGGATCTTTAAGCCATACCAGGTAGTGACAGTGTGAATTATAACGGGAGCTACTTGTTACCAGCTCAACCTCTGGGGGGA